AACTGACACACAGTTGTACTCAGTCTGACACACAGACTCCAACTCCAGCTTCTAAACTTCTCCACACAAGCTCCACATATATATACAGTACAGCTCCTCCCCCTGATGTCCCGCCTTCCACTCCCCATAGGATGGAACTTTCCCTCCAAACCCATGACAGACAGGTACCATCAGTGCTGTATGTAACACTGGGTTTCCTTCAAAATTCTAATTTTGAAATTATAATTTCAAAATAGAGATGGAAGATTTAGTGAAGAGAAAAAGTATTAAATTATCTGTTTTCAGGTTGCTTGGATGCTTCTCTTAGTTCCCACTTACCAACATGCTGGCTGAGACAATTATTAGCTGACTATTCCAGAGGTTCCAGGTTTCCAATTTCCTTAGAACAGGCACAAAGCATTATAGCAAAGCTGGACATTAAACTGAAGTCCTCTTCATTCATGTCAGAAGCAACCCAGGGGTGCTTCCAGAATAGAAGCATCAGCTGTCAGGCTATGGACTTATCACAGGGGAATCCTGAACGCGCCCACAGACCTGACATTCTTCAGGGAGGCTTCCTTCCGTGCCCCAAAGGGTGAAGTTGTATTCAAATCTTTAAGAATTATCTACCAATTTGAGGTAGTGTATCTACTTAGATAAAATGTTTGTGTGGAGAATACAGTAAACCTAATTTCTGAGTTCTGCAAAGGTTCTATGTAAATTGTGTGTATGACCCATTGCATTAAGGACATTTAGCAGTTTTGTTTGGAACTAGAATCTTAAAGTGCTTGGAGGACTTCACAGGGATTGACTTGTTTCAGTCCTTGGATAGGTAAGGCAGTGTTAACCATATCTGTATTGTAGTTTGGTGGAACATATGTATGTGCTTTGTTGCTTGCTTGCTTGCCTGACTGCCTGGTCTGGATGAGATCTGACCCAGGGACTTATTGCCCCATACACTAATGACTGAATGGTGGGAAAAAAACTCCCTTTAATTTCTGAAAACCAGGCAGCACTGGCCCAAGACATCTTGCTGATGACTGAATGGTGGGGGGGGGGAAACTCCCTTTAATTTCTGAAAGCCAGGCAGCACTGGCCCAAGACATCTTGCTGCTTTTAGCAGAGGGCAGTCACTGCCTGGGTTCAGAAAGCCCTGTTGTATTATTCAGATTTTAGTTCCTGCCTTTTCTATTCTGCCATGTACAAGCTGCCCCTTCGCCATAAATCTGGTTGAAGCACCCTATTGCATGAGCGAACAGGCTCGAGAAAAACAATAGACATCCAATTGGGAAATGTCTGTCTAAAATACAGTAGTTGTCTTACTTTGAGAGTCCTTGTGGAAAGCAACCTTATTACCAATAGTTTTCTCTCCACCAGGATTGGAACTGATTGGCACACTGATAATTTTGGTAATTTGGTTTACTCCACCCTCTCACATCTAACGCCCCTGAAATACGCAGAAGGAAATAAGACTGAGTAAGAAATAAATGCAGGCCATTATTCTGTTACAGAAAAACAGAAACGTTTCAAGTGTAACAGAGATTCAGATTATTGTGTGATTTATCTTTTAGTTTTATGTTGGTTTGCTGGCAAGGTATAGGTAGAGAATCTGTAGGAGGAAACATCTCCATTAAGGAGTATTAATAATGATGAAGCAAGTCTTGGTGATTTTTACCAGTGGCATTAAATCGCAAATTGCAGAAATGCTCGCAGGGAAGAAGATTCTCGGAATTCAATTACTCATTTATTTAAAAACATATATATCTCTCTATTTTGACCAGACACACAGAATGGTTAATGAAATTATATATAAAATGCAAAATAATCAGAAATATACATAAATATAACAAATTTTACCTCCCTATGGTCACAGTCTGGATCTGGCAGGTCCCCTTTGCTGTTTGTACTGGAAAGAGGTTCCCAGTTTGACATGTGGTAGTAATCATGACTAAGAGGAAAATAAAGGGAAGGCAAAGCGTTAATGTAATCTTCCTCTGCTTTTTGTCAACATATTTCCCAATACCGATTTGGCTCCTGCTGCCTGTTTTTTGTTAGTTAATTGTATAAACAGAGTCTTTTCTGGCTTGGTTCTTACTTGTCAGAGAGAATAAACAGCCCAAAACAAAACAGAAGGCTGTAACGAGATAGGCCAGAATCCTGTTTGAATTGTATAGCATGGCAGTTGTGTAAATGGAATGCACAATCT